GGATAGGCGCAAGACGAAGAGGATGTATGGATTCTTGCTTTTGTTCTTATTTCAATCAAAAGTCTCTGTAAGACTATAACCACATCAAATCCAGATGACTAGACGACTCATCTATGAATCAAAAGGCCTACTTCCAAAAACAAAAAAAAGAAAACAATAATATATTCTTGAGGTATTCTTGAAGTGATGTTGCACCCAACAAAAACCAAATAAATTGTTTTCGAAGAAGAAAAAACACGAACTAGGTATATAGAATTCTTCAAGGAAGTGACCTGGAAGAGAAGAAATTAGGAGAGAGAAGGAGAGAGAGATTAACAATAATGAAGAAGTTGGGTGGCTTGAGTGGATTGACAAGACGTTGTTTGCTTTGGGAGCAAAAAGAAATATTTGAAAATTAAAATAAAGGTAAGAGAGAAAGGACAGGAGATGAGGCAAAGCTTCCCTTCTATCTTTTCCCTTTCATAGACTATTTTATTACTTAGATCGGTAACGGTCTTAATAAACTTACATTCATTTTACAATTTGTAATGTTTTAAATTTTAACAATCATTTATCAAAAGCGTTATACTCGATTTTATTTTTATAGCTCTTTCTTATAACTATTTTAACTATTTTACACAGTTTGCACTATATTATACCGTTTACAGCTACAGCTACCGTTTTCGGTTACCAATCGGAATTATTTTTACAGTTTCTAATCATAAAAATGGTACTAAAAACTTTATCAAAGCGTTACACTTACTTTATTTATACACTTTTTGACTGTTATTTTTACAGTTTTGTGTTATTCTATAACCGCTTACCGCTCTAACTTACAGCTAAAAAATTTATATCGTTTTAGTTACCAGTTAGACCTATTGTGTTTGATTGGTGCCGGCAAAAATATATATATATATATTGTGTTTTATTGGTAACAATAACCTTACTGTCACTTTACAATTTGTAACATTTTAGATGGTACCAATCACAAAATCAATATCAAACTTTTTTACCAAAGCGTTATACTCAACTTTATTTGTACAGTTTTGTACTATACTATAACAATTTACAACTGAAAATTTTATATCGCTTTAAGTTATCAATCTGATCCATTACTATACTATAACAGATAGATTCAGCAATTCCGCATGTGCTATTTACTATATAGAAAAAAAATTTCTACTTCAGCTAAATTCAACAATTCAACCAAAACATATTGCAAGAATCAACTAATGTTTGACTGATATATAATCCAAATCGAATGTTTTGTAGTTACAAGTAATATATTTATTAGTTTGATGTTCTTTTTTGAGAAAAATATTATAAGTTTTATGTTAGTCTATATTATATTGCTACCAACAAATTTTATTACACGATCTAGTTATATTATATTAATAAAGAAAAAAATAATGGTCGACATTTCGAAAGATATGTAATACAATAGAATC